GGCGGGCGCTTCGTGCCCGCCGGCGCCACCACCGCGGGCCGGAGCACGAGCTGGCCCAGAGTGAACTGGTGCACTTTGCCATTCTCCGAGCCGCCCATCATGCGCACCTTGAACCTCTTACCACCGGCGAGCACTCCCTCCACGGTGCCCGGCTGGTCTCCGAACTTTTTCACCAAGTCCGCCTTCGCAACTCGAACGGTCACGGAGCTGCCGACCTTCACCTCGTCGGAGGAGGCCGCCCCTGTTTTCGCCCCAGAAGCGGCTGCCCCGGATGCCGACGCACACGCGGGAGGCTCATGCGGGTCGGCGCGCGGCGCGCCCGCAGCCGCCGCTGGCTCCACCGCGGGCGGTCCCGCCGCCTGGCCGGGCGGGCTCACCTCCGCCCACTGCTTCAAGGTGGACACGAAGTTGCTCCGGCCACTGGCCTGGGGGAACAAACGCCGCGGATACCCAAGGATACCAAAGGATACCGATACCCCAGGATACCCAAGACTACCAAAGGATACCCAAGAATACCCTAGACGACCCAAGGATACCCAAGAATACCCAAGGATACCCAAGGATACCCAAGACTCCCCAAGAGTACCAAAGACTACCTAAGGATACCCAAGAATGCCCAAGACTACCCAAGGAGACCCCAGGATACCCTAATACATCAAAGACTATTCAATGATACCCAAGGAGACCCAAGGAGACCCAAGGATACCCAAGGAGACCCAAGGAGACCCGAGGCGACCCAAAGAGACCCAAGGAGACCCAAGGAGACCCAAGGAGACCCAAGGAGACCCAAGGAGACCCAAGGAGACCCAAGGAGACCCAAGGAGACCCAAAGAGACCCAAGCCGACCCAAGACTACCCAAGACTACCCAAGGATACCCAAGGATACCCTAGGATACCCAAGGAGACCCAAGGAAACCCAAGGAGACCCAAGGATACCCCAGGAGACCCAAGGAGACCCAAGGAGACCCAAGGAGACCCAAGGATACCCCAGGAGACCCAAGGAGACCCAAGGAGACCCAAGGAGACCCAAGGAGACCCAAGGAGACCCAGGGAGACCCAAAGAGACCCAAGCCGACCCAAGACGACCCAAGACTACCCAAGGATACCCTAGGAGACCCAAGGAGACCCTAGGAGACCCAAGGATACCCCAGGATACCCCAGGATACCCAAGGATACCCAAGGATACCCAAGGACACCTCCCCCCCTCCTCCTCCTCCTTTTCTTTCTCCTCCTCCTCCTCCTCCTTCTCCTCCTCCTCCTCCTCCTCATCCTCCTCCTCCTCCTCCTGCTCCCTCCTCCTCCTCCTCCCTCCTCCCCCCCCTCCTCCCTCCTCCTCCTCCTCCTCCTCCTCCTCCTCCTCCTCCGCCTCCTCCTCCTCCTCATCCTCCTCCCCTCCTCCTCCTCCTCCTCCCCCCCCCCTCATCCGCCTCCTTTCCTCCTTTTCCTCCCCCCTCCTCCTCCTCCTCCCCCCCTTCTCTTCCTCCTCCTCCCCCGGGCGCCTGCCCGCGGCCGCAGCGTCGAGAAGGGAAACGAGCAATCATCAAAACATATGCTGTTGACCAGAAAACCGAGACCAGGAAAAGCTCATCAACGCAGAAATACAAAATCATACAAAAACTATGCTGCGCAATGAAAAACGAAAATCATCAAAAATATTATGGCGTTTAAACCCGAATCGACGCCTCGACTCCTCGATCCTCTCCTTGTAGGCGCTGGGCCTGCTCAGATACCGCACAATTAATAGGGAAATCGGCCAAAGGGCCCCGGGAGTGTCGAAGGCCAGGTGGCCTTCGCCAGGGTGGATCCGAAAGCTTTCACAAGGGCCGTGTAGGAGTCGCAACGCGGCTCGACCAGCGCGGGGGGCTCCCCGCCCTGGTGCCCCATGAAGCCGCACTTGGCGACGCTCAGCTCCATGAAGATGCCGTCGGTGAGCTCCGTGACGTGCGTGTTCTGCGCGCCGGGCGCGTCCAGGCACTTCTGCAAGAGCTGGATGAGCGGCCTCAACGTCGGGTGCTTCACGAGACTCAGATCCATGCCCGATGCGCAGAGGAACCGAGACGCAGACAGGTACGAGGCCGGGTCCCACTGGCGAAAATCAATCTGCACCAGCGCGAAGTTCATCACATTCGCAACGTCTGTCTTCTCAGGGAACCACGCCGCGCAGTGGTTGAAAGCCTGCTGCCTCTGCTTTTCGTCGGGGAGCCCGAAGAGGTACGCCAGGAGGCTTGCGGTCGAGGGGGCCTGCAGCGCAGTCGCCGCCACGGTCAGCTCGAACTTCTCGTCCGCACCAGCGTGGTCGAGGAGCACCTCGACGGTCGCTCTCCGCTTGCTGGCGCCCACCCCGTCGCCCTTCCGCAACTTCTCCATCAGCGCCTTGTTCCTCGCTGTCTTGTAATCTGCGAAGAGCTCGCAGTCCTTCATCACCTCCCAACTAGCCCAGGACACGCCAGTTTGCATGGCCTTCAGCTCTTCCCCCTCTATAGTCACATCGCAGAAGCTTTGGTCGGCCACCTTGCACACGCACAGGGTCAACGGAGGGACCGCCGCGCCCCACGACGCCTCGATCTTCCGGAAGTGGGGGGCGAAGT